GGGAATCATCATCATCATCATCAACCACGGCGGATTTAGCTCTTCCTTAACGGGTCCCCCGCCGCTCGCTCGAACGCTATCGGTAGACTATTGAACGCGACAGGAAAAAACGGGAAAACCGGATCTGTGGAGGGGACAAAAACAAAAGGGGTATGGGGTCGGAGCCTGGGGGGGGCGTGGTGGAAGAGGGCAGCAGCAGCACATGGCAGACGGGGATAATGCCTCTTTGCTTCAAGGTCCACCCCGACGGTGGGGAGAAGTGGGTGAACTTGTTTGGTTTTATCAGGGGATGGAGGGGGGTTAGCTTTTTGAGCAACAGGCAACGGCGATAAACACTGCCAGGTAAAGCCGAAGAGAGTGAGAGAGGGAAAAGACTGTGTTCTCCGGTGGATTTACGGAGTTGGGTAACATAACGCTACAGATTTGGTGAAAGCGCATTTTTTTTTCTTTTTTTTTTCGAAAGAAAGCAAATCCCGGACGACAGGAAGAAGAAAGACAGGGGAACACAAACTTATCTTTTGTAATACAGCCTGTCTGTCAGCAATGTCGAGGGACGTCGTATTGCTTGCCTTTGTGTGCCCGTCACACAACTCTTGCTCGGACTTTTTTTTTTGTTTTTGTTTTTTTTTGGCTGTTTCTTCCTTTTCAAGTCTTACAAAATAAAAGAGCCAGTATCTGATATGATCGGCAAAACGTCCGCCGTTGTGTCACCAAACACGAGAGTCACCCCCTCTGAGATCTCTCCACTTGTGATCTTGCAGCGGAGTTCCTTCCTTCCCGTCGCCCGGCCAGCGACGGCGCGCCGTTGTGTGTCTCTGACCGTTTTATCGTCAACGTTCTTGTCCCCTTCCTGCTGCCCCGTGCGTGCTTGCGGCGCCGGCGCCAGAGGATCGGATGCGCCATCAAATAATGGCCACAATGGCGGTAATAATAAGCCTGTAGCAAGATAATAGTTCATGGATATCCCCCGAAACCAACGACATTTGTTTCTTAATCCCCGCCGTAGCGCTTTGATATATCACTACCGCCGTAAGAACGCCATTCGGCATAACAAGCCCGGCTTAATCTTCTGGGGGGCATGGGTTGAAGATGATCGATATCCATGAGGCACATCATCATGGCGTCCAGACCAAAAAAACAAAAAAAACAAAAAAAACAAGCCATTTTCGACCTTCGGTAAAGAGCAAAATTTTGGACTGTCTCGATGTGAACCTAGACTTTCTTGGGTGTCAGCCACATTACCACCACCCAAGACCGACCGTCGTTGGGGATCTGCTCGGCAGATATTCTTTCCGGGTGCAGATCATCGCCCTCCCTCCCTTGATATCGTGGTATCCTGCTGCAAAATCCAGACCGCTTGGAAGAGGCAGGCAGAGAGTGAGAAACAATTTCGTCATAAACGGGCATCCACCCGGGATGCTGCGATGCAGGTTGAGTTGTCCTCATCATCTCCCGCCCCGGTTCCATATCGGGAACAATATGCTGTAATCGAGGAGGAGGCTTGCTTGCTTCGGTGATGATGTCGGTGTCCTGAAAAGAAAGAGATCCCGGTGGGCGGCACCGTTTTTGATCTTTCTTCTTCTTTGGTCATGAGTCTCTCTGTTCTCCACGATGTGATTTTGACTCGGAAAAATAAACGGTCAAGAGAAAAATGGCCCCCATCACACAAAAGCCACTAACAACGTTGAAAAGTGAACCCCTGCCGCTCGAGATCGGGCTTGGTATCAACGCCTCTTTTTCCAAGGACACAAAAAAAGAAAAAGAAGCAAACAATGATCTTGTTTCCTGTTTCGTTTCTCATCAACCCCATGTTCCAGATGATATCTCATGTTTCCTTTTCCTCACACACAACCCGCCAAGAACCATTAAACGAAGTTTGATATAACACACTAGCCTCCCCCAGCAGAGCGGCTGCTGCGGGATCTACACTGTCGGTTTTTTTGGTGGTACATTGTGGTGCACAGACGCCAGGCCGGGAACATCATCGTCGATATTTTACAGGCGAGCGAGGTCGCCGACCTGGAAACCTTTCCCGAGGGGGGAGGGGGGGTGACACCACGCGTGCGCAGGTCAGTGCTTTTTTCTTTCTTTTTATTTTTTAATTTCTTTATGTTAAGCCCCTACCCGCCTGGGCTGCTAAGAGACCTGGTTTGTGTTGGAGTGGTGATGATGATGCATCTCCGAGCTTGCTCGGCCGGGTGACTGCTGGATGGCTGGATGGATGGATGTCGTCGTCCAGCCCGCATTTCTTTTGATATGTGTTTATAAAAGGGAAGGGAAATGCTGCGGTTACATTGAGAATGAGGAGTGAGAGACTCGAATGCCGGCTTGGTTTCGCGCGCGGCGGGCTGGAGATCCCGGCGTGGTGTTGTGGTGCGGTGATGTATGTAGTATGTACCAAACAAAAGTATTGAATGCGGCACAACCGCACAATCCCAGTGAGGCGGGAAGTGATAATAGCTGAGTGTTATTTCTTGCGCTCTGCCCTGCAAGGTGAGTGAGGCTATCGCTATGCCCCAACTCAACCAAGGTCAGGCGGAGAACGGGATTCGGACCAAGCCAAGGTGAGAAGAGAGTGTGGAGAAAAAAAGGGTTGCAGCGTTACGTTTCTTCAGCTTGCAACAACTCACCACTTGGCAATAGCGCCTCGCCAGTTGCGGTCGGGGAGCGGAACGTAGCGCGTCGATCAATCAATCAAAATCAAAAACGATGGCACCCGACTGTTTGGCTCAGACGCTGTGCCCCAAGCAACCCTTACACTAGCGTCACTTTTCTCCAATCAAATCTTCCGTTTTTTTACTACTTTCTCTCTCTCCGTTTATTCAACTAACCGATACGCCGCACGACACACACACACACACACACACACGCACACAACAAACTTACAAGGATCACGACGATCTCCCTTTTCTTTTCTGTCCCCCTTGTATTCTTGCGCTTTGTTGTTGCAAGGCCGCCGCCCTGTAAGATTGACAACAACGGTGGAGAAAAGCTATACCTATACTGGCAATTTTTGCGGATGATACGTTGGGTTGGGAATTACCCAGGGTTAGTTATAACTCTAATACCTTTTGGTTGAATGTCTTGGCATTTTTCTTTCACGACTTCCCCAAAAAAAACAATTTCTCCATATTGCGGAAGAAAATGATTATCGATCGGGACAGCTTCGGTCTGAACAGACAGATCGGGGGAAAAGCGACGATCATTTCCAATTCCTCTTCCATTTTGGGGGGGGGGGGGGCCTTCTTCAATATCCACAGCGTGTACAACGGCCTTGGTTTATGAATGGATCGAGTCAACAAAACCAAGTCCGGGGTAGGGTACCTACCTAGACAGGTTGTATACGCCGCGGAGGAGGCATGAATGACAGCTTTGCCTTTCTATTACATACATACACCTTTCCAAAACCCCACGAAGCTACTGCGAGGTACTGTACCTGAATAATAAAAAATCCCGTTCCAACGGCTCCTCGTGATGCATGATCTTGAAGCAGTTTGCTAGTTAGCGTGTCCACCAGCTGCCCAACGGTTTGTGGATTACCTCCCTTCAAGTCCTTGTTTCTCATCATCAAGCATCGTCATTGATCGGTTTGGTTTGGAAAACCGCCCCAGAATCCTTCGTGGCTCTCTCCAGATCGACCATTGGACTCCAAGCGTCAACACCGATCAACAATGCAGAAACGTCTTCACGATCGGGCCGTTGTGGGATGAACCACCCCCCCTAAACCAAAGCTGTGCAAAGTGATCAGCAAGATGGCTGTTAAACTCCACAAATCCTCTCCAGCTCGTGTCAGGCCTCTTTGTCAGATCGGATAGGTCCAACAACTGGCCGCCGTTCATTTTAGGGGAGCTAAGGAACGAAGCCTTCCAGCCGCCGTTGAACTTAGCTATCCGGCCGAGTTCTTTCTTCTCTCATCATCAATGACGAAATTGGTTTCCTTCTTGTTGACAGTGATGATGATGATGATTGTGATCTTCCCATCTTGCACATCTCAATCCTCCCCTAACCTATCTCCGGCGCTATTCACAATTCACAACAACCTGCCCTATGTAGACCACCAAAAAGATACCCCCCAGTCCCGGTCTCCATCTGGGCCTAGGTCCTTGAGATGGTATGACCGGGAACGTACGGAGGAATAAAAAAAATAGGGCTAGTCTAATGTCTGTTCACCGTTTTTGTCCCTTTCCCCTGCTGTTTCCAGGGGATGTTGGTGGCAGTGGCGGCCCAAGTCTCTGCCTGCCTGTTGTCCACCCAATCCCTTCTGGGATAATTGAACAAACCCAAAACCAGTAGCAGCGCAATGTGGAGATCTGGGCTTGCTTGCCTGTCGGTCACCAGCCAAGCTTGTAAACCCTCAACGGCCAGTGATTACCCGCCCACTTCCAAGGTAAAAAAAAAAACATCATCACCGAAACCAGCCGAACAAGTAAAAATGTATGTGCAAATCCCCTCACCAACTTCGCCCAGAGGGCTCAGCGGTATCGTCATATGTATTAAGACTCTCTCGCTCGCTCTCCTTGCAGCCAGAGCCACATCGTCAGTCGGTAATTATTATACATGGTAATCCACATCGCTTTTTCCTTTCCTTCGTGCGCTCATGTCATCCGACCTCCCTGACAGAAAGTCGTTCCCCCCACCACCCATCAAATCAATAGTGTATATGCATGTTATCCAAGAATGAACCCTTGCAGACCAAAGCAAGAAGAAAAAAATGTACAAAGTAAAAATGAAAATAACAAAGGAAAAGAATAATGTAAAACAAGGGACCAATTCGTATGGACGGGGTATCATCAGTATAAACACAGGTTTGTCGACAAAGGAAAAGAAAAAGAAAAAGATTAAAAACCCAGGGGAAGAAAGCCATTCGCTATGCAAAACCTTGCAAGTCCCGTCTTTTGTTTTGGTTTGCCCCTCATCCAAAGTCGTGTTTTTTTTTGTTGGTGTTATTGTTCAAGAGTCTTGTTCGTTGGTCTGGGACTCGCAGGTGGAGCATCCCCGAACTAAGGGAGGGATGGGTCAACCAGGTTGGAGACTGAAAGTCTGTTGACTCTTTCCTCAACTCTGCTGACGGCGCTCAGTCCGGGGTCGCTCAGCTTGAAAGTGGAAGCCGGGGCGTTGGGAGAGCTTGGGGCAGTAAGAGGGTGGTGGTGCTGGCGGCCGGTGGAGTAGTCATTGGTCTGGGGAGCAGGAGCGCCATAGGCAAGAGGCTGCCTGGGGTAGTCGCTGCGGGGGAAGACGGGAGACATGTTGAGTCTGAAGTCTGGGGAGTGGATTGGGTGAGCGGCGTCGGTGAGAGATGGCAGCTTGTTGCTGTTGTTGCTGTTGTCCGCGGCAGAGGCAGAGGTCTGGTAAGAGTACACTCCATCCTCGGGGGCTGTCTTGAGAGGAGCAAGCATGGTACTCTCGGGCCTCGAGTCGTAGTAGCGCTGCGGTGGGGATGGCGCCTGGGGTGAGGCTCCGTAGTGGGATCCGTTGTCCGACATCAGAGAGGGGGCCGCCTCCGAGTCGGGAGAGTAGACGGGGGAAGGGATGGGAGTCTCGAGCCCGTACTGGGCATCGTGCATGGAGGATGGGTGAAGAGGCGGCACCGGAGGTAGAGGTCTCTGGGAAGCCATGCCGTGGGCCTGGCGAAGGGGAAGGGGCCGCGAAGGGAGGGGGGCCATGGGCGACATGAGCGGAGATACCTCGCGGCCGTGATACTGGAGCGAGGTGGTGGTCATTGTGGCCTTGCGCTTGTCCTGTCTCTTTCTGCGGTTCTGGCTCCCGTTCCACCAGTTCTTTACAGCGTTGTCGCTGCGGCCGTGGAGACGTCTGGCAATGTCGGCCCACCGCTTGCCAATTTGCTGGACCATGGTCTCAATGATGACGCCTTCCTCGGGCGTGATGGGGTCGTGGTTGAGAGTAGGCTTCAAGTTCTGGTGATATCTTTCGCGGCACTGCTTTGGTGTTCTGGAGCCGAGGGCATTGGAGATGCGTACCCAGTTCAAGGGGCCCTGGTGCTGGACCAAAGACATGAGGTAGGCGTCCTCATGGGCAGACCAAGGGCCTCTTCTGTGGTTGTTAGATGGGGCAGTCATGATGTGGTTGTTGGTGTAGTGAGACAGAGCAGCCGAAGCACAAGGGTGAGCGGTGCTATTGTCGGGGTGGTAGTAAAGCATGTAGAAGTCTGGAGAGTGGAGTTTGATGGGTGGTGATGTTGGTGGTGATGTTGATGATGAAGTTGTCTGATGGTGGATGAAGCTGTACAATGGTTCGACGAGGAAGGAGGAGGAGGAGGAGGTCTGATAAGTATCATTCCCAGAGTGTGAGCACAGAGACCCAAGAGGGAACAACAAGCGAACTGGCAAGCAGGCCACGGCTTGGCTCTGGATGGTACTTGGGACCGGGTCTGTCACTTGTGGGGACACTTGTGGGTGCTGCTAAACCAGGTGGAGGAGGGAACTTCGGTGCAGGGACATGGGTACCACCAGCAAGCCTCAAGAAACGGGGGCAGGGGCAGTTGGGGGGGGAGCCGTCCACAAACAGGCCCCCGTCTCCTGCACCCCTGTTCCCGGGCCCAGCTCTGGGCGGGCTGCTTGCTGCTGGAGCAGAGCAGAGCAGCAAAAACAGGACAGCGCTCATCAGCGCCAGCACACGACACGACGAAACGATGAAACGACTCCATCTGTAAGGTACCTGCCTACACTTGTCGTCTTCCCGCTTGAGCTACGACAGAGCCTGGCGCCACAACAAGGTTGAGAAATATCCGTACCCGTTCATCAGTGACGTGTGGAATCTCCAACGTCCCTCATTTGATGTCAATGGGGGTGTGGCGCCGCCTGCCTCGTTGAGCTGTCGACGGCGTGTATACTCTAAAACCTTCACAGTGCTGGCGAGAGCTGTGGAGGAAAGACAGGTAACTCGGGGGGTGGGGGTGAGGCCAGATGTACTTTCCAGAGGTACCTCCTGGCCGTCCCGAATTGAGTTCGGTACGTCCGAGTTTCCAGATATTCTGGCGGTTGGCTAGCCGCAAATGGCAGCGGCAAGGGTATCGGAGAGTTTAATTGATGCGGTTTTGATGTGGCTTGAGAGGTACGTACCTCCACCATCGCCATCGCGCCTTCGACGCCGACATGGACAGCAGCATCGGCAGTGACTCCAGCAAGAAAAGAAGGTTCAGGGGATTCCGCAAGTGTGCAGTGTGCAGTGTCAGGCGAGCAATTTTGCCTGGAGCACCATGTGCTGCAGTGCAGTCCCCGTCGCCGTCGATTTTGATGCGTTGGATGCGGTGATGGAAAAGACAGCATAACGGTATAGATGATTCTTGTATTGCGGCGTCGCAGCCGTGGGATTATTATTGGGATCCCGGTCTCTTAACCGTACCTTATTATTACCGTATTACTGGACGCTGTGTACGCTGTGTATCGTCCGTCACCGCGGGGAGCAAGGATGGCACAGGGATCTCATCTCAGCTGCCCCGTGCCGGCCTTGTCTGCTTTGATGATCGCTGGCAGGGGCCTGTTCGCAACCAACACCACCACTTCACTCACACATCAATCACATCACACACTTTTTTGCATCACGGACCACCTCTTGTCACTCTCACTCTCACTCTCACTCTCACCCACACTCACACCTCACCGTCGATGAGAATCCTCCGATCCACAGATGATGACTGCCCCCTCTGCCCCTCCTAGTGGATATGGATCCAGACTCCTTATACTCAAAGCTTGCCGAGTAGTCGTGTTGCAAAGTGCGCCGATTTGCCTTCCCCTCTGGCTGATAGCTCTGAGTGGTTTTTGTTAGGACGGCGCCGTCCCCTTGCTGGCAGCACATCATTTCACCTGACAAGTGAGAAGCTTCTTCCTCGAGGTCGATCTTCCTCAGCGGGCGCAACGCCGTTCGAAATGGTAACTAACGTCTGAATCAGGACCTGCACCTACCTGACTACAGGGAGACAATACATGACCCTAGGTCCAGTGGCTTGCAGGAAATGGCTTGTCCCATCTGTAGGGGATTTTCAAGTCTGTTGGGGGGTAGGTAGTGTAGAGGTTGCCGTCTTCGGCAATCCCCAAGATTTGCCAGTCCCGTTCCACCAAGCTGAACCCATCCACACCATTTTTCTCTTAAGACATATATTATGGCCCGGGGGTTCTTGGAGCAGAGGGCTTCCAAAACCACTCTCGCGCGACGCAATACAGTATCATCGCGGCTCGCATTAGGTATCATGTAGCAGGGCCGCTATTGTGCAGTGTCGGTTGAGCCAATCCGCCCCTCCTTTTTGATGATCCTCGTGGAGTCGGCATGGGATGAACTCGCATACGGCCGTCCCGTTTCTGGTTCTTTCTTGGGGGGTCCCTCGTTCCAGAAGGAACGAAAAAGGCCTCAAGATGCAGACAGAGCACACCACACCTTTCACAGGCGCGCGCATCCAGTACCGGACCGCATTCTTGCAGTGTACGAGACCTAGAAGTTGGTGTAGCCACACAGGGCTGACACTCGATCCGGAGATGGCGGGCGCCTCCACGCGGGCATCTTCGGGGGGTAGGCTCTGGAAGGCGGCGAGAACCATCAGCAGCCGGGGGATGGCATGGCAAGATCGTGATGTTCTTTTGCCCCCCCTGGTTTCCATATCTGGACAGAGAGCCCCATGATGCTCGTAAATCTCTCCACCGCAATAACCAGTTCAGATTGTTGTTCCTGCAGAGAGAACCCAATCAGTGCTGATACGTGTCATTCCTCAACGGCTGAGATGGCGGTGACAACGTGATCAAACACTCGAGACAGCGAAAAAGAAACAACTGTCGAGCAAATGGGATTGCTGGGTAGCATCCCTCGTCAGCCCATGACGGCCTCGTCCCAAGCTGCTGGGGCGCGCCAGTGGCTAGCTCCCATGATTAGCCAACCCGGTGAACCAGATCGTCGGACTCCTCAGGTGCGCAATAATTCCCGTTGGAATTATTTGAGGGCTGATATGATATAGGGCCAGCATGTAGCAAATATGGGCGAGGGGTCCTATCTGTTGTGAGCGCCAGTGGGTGGTATTCTTTTCGCTTACTGATTCAGAAAGACGCCCCTGAAGCTTGATATCCAAGGGAGGGGCTCTTCGCTAAAAAGGGGTGAAAACGGCAAGTCGGTCGCCAGTCGATGGTACTGTTGCTGTCAAATGGTAGCGGCCGAGATCTGGGGTTAAGCTTCAAATCCCAGCGAGCCGGTCTGTGCTGATCCTGAGCGGGTGGCTTTTCTTCAGCGACCCATCCACTTGGGTACCCGACCGGCTAAATGCATTGGAAGGGGGTAGGGGTGCATGGACTTTGCAACGGCGCTTAGTGTAGCTTTCTGCTCTATCCTCCAACGTAGCCTCGTAGCCTCTCGGCGCTGGTTTGAACCTCGTTCCTGACGTTACATCCAGCAATCAGACGGCAGCGACCGCGGCACTCTCCCGAGCAGTCTTCTTCTGACCCAGACGGGAAACCAGATCGCCGCGACTCCAGCCCACCCACCACATTCGAGCAGTCTTTGGGACCAGTACTGGAGGAGGGATGGCACGGACCGGCGATCGTCAGTTGCTCGAGATCTGCCCTGACAACCCACCCTCCGTTATCGAATCACCTCGCACAACATCAGGAGGAACGGCGATGGCGGTGATATGATATGCAGATCCCGAGGGGAATGTCGATTATCTGCGCAAATAATAAGTTGTTGGTCTGGCAAGTCTCTGGAAGTATGTTTGGCAGAGCCTCTCTGGTTGTCCATGTTTCACCTTTCTGATTCGGATAAGCAGAGCGACGACACCTCGTTTATCACATACCGCAAGCGAACCGAACCCACTGGCAGTCCCCAATCCCGTACCACACCACACCACAAGGTGTCTTCCACACCGCTATAATTAAATCTTAGGGGTATAACGGCTGCCAGTTATAGCTCTGGGCGCGGGGGTTGTACATGGAATGATACTATTCACACACAACCCTCACACAAGCGACACCAGGCTATGTATGTACGATTATAGGAGAATATCATCCGTGCAGCACATTAGCACCTTTCCCGCCAACCTGGGAACGAACCATGATGCGATGCGAGGACACCCCGAAGGCCCGAACGACAAACTTCCGAAGATTTGCGCGCCGGTAGCACCAGAAAACCCTTTGAACTGCAAACCAATATGCTGTGACGCTGTCACAGCTGCCGCTGCTGCTGCTGCCGTCGTCTTCATAGGCAAGTAACAGCCTCTGATGATCTGATCTGATATCAGTACAGTACTGTACTGTCTGTAAAACCCAACCGTTCGGGTAGGCGTGCGGGTGAAACGGACCCGAAGCAACTTCCCGCATGTTTGAACGTCTCCGCTTCGTCAAGCTCTCGCTGCAACTACAAAGTTCCTCCTCGCGACGTCAGAATAGACAGCGCAGCAATCCGCCAAGATTGGACAGATCGTCCTTGCAAATCTCTCGGGTGGTCAGCTGGGTGGTTCAACGGGGGCCCTTGCTACCGTGGTATCGTATCTCTGTCTCCCTCAGACACAGACACACACACGATGCAAAAACCGCCAAGCACGCCAAGACACCTATCCCTGCCCCCTCTTCTCGTTTGGTATCCACCGATGTTGCGATACTCCAGACACAGACCTTGGTTTCGTATACCAACGAGGCTCCCAGATCGTGGGGAGAGGGGTCAAATATCTTGGACCTCTGTACGAGCGGTGGACTTGTCATTTTTCCTTGTTGCTGGCTTGCATGATCTTCCCGTGCGTAGTGTAGCAACCTCGCAATTACTCGCTATCTTATTCGCCAGCAAGGTGGAATACAGTCATCTCACACACACTGAGCGATGTTCCCAAGAGCCTTTTTCTTTCCACCTTGATACCACAAGCAGCAGGGAAAATAATACCCTTGTCTTGCGGTATCCGCGCTCCCGAGGGGTCTTTTTATTTCACAACGGCATGCAAGCAGCCGGTATTGCTTACAGAGATCCAGCCGGTAGCCCCACCGCCGTCACCATCACCGTTCAGATGATATGTAGATACGTACCCCATCCTTCACCCTCTCTTCACCAGCCACACCCGCCACACGCCCCATCCCCTCGGGCTCCTAGCCGCCTCCAGCTGGAAGATAAGGCTCACCTCCCCGTTGGCTGGAGGGGAAAGAAGAGGAGGGTCAACCGACGAACCGGGCCCCCG